CGACGCGCGCGTGCGTTTCGCGCCCATTTTCGCCGGGGAGTCCCATGGTCGCGCGCGCGCAAGGGCGGTCGACGTTCGAAAGATTTCGATATGCGCTCGCGAGAGGCCCGCTTGATTCCATTTTATGAAACTGTTGCGCAATCCATGCTTTTGTTCAGGGTCCGCGCGAGCTCGAGCGCAGTTTTTCTTGTTCGTGGCGCCGGATTCTGAAATCTTTGCGAAGCTCGAGTTTTTGTTTGGGGCGCGACGACGCGCGCGTGGGATTTCTTAGAACTGATGATTTGTGATGAAGAGTGCGCGCGTGTAACATTAGAGGATGAGGTGGGTGCCGGCCTGCCTGGGATGGTGTGCGTTCCTATGCAGGATGGGCGATGGGGCAGAATCGCGCGTGCGTTGCACATCTCCAGGGGGGCCCGTAAGTCCAGCGGGGGGGGGGCTCGGACATTCTTCGAGGAAGGGGAATGTAGTTTGGAAGGTGTAAAGCTGTCAGCTGCACTGCTCACGCAACTGTCCCACCCGCCCGCCTGCGACTTGGTTTGGACAACCCATGGGGCTGCGATTGCGATGAGTGCTTGGTGCTGGCTGGTGCGTCTGTTCGGCCGCGCTAGCCCGCGCGCGCGCGTGCGCGGCGGCCTGCTAGCGCGGCGCGACCGACGCGGCCGCGTTGGCGCTCGCCGCCGGGCACTTCCCAGCGCGCGTCGTAGGCCACGCTGGCGCGGGGCCACTCCAGTGCGAGTCGGTGATTCGGGCGGGCGCGGTATCGCGGCGACGTCGACGCATGTGGACGCGATGATGGTAGTGGGGGTGATAGTGACGATGGCGACGATGCCGACGGCAAAGCCAGTGGCGGCGCCGATGCTGACCGCGCCGATGACGATGATGGCGCCCCCTGTGTCGGCGATGGAGATCTTGGCGGGATTTCGACGCGCGCCCGCGGCCGGCGCGCTCGAGTGGACCACGTGGTGTTATTAGTCGCGGGCCGGCCACCCCCCATGCGCGCGCGAGGGCGCTCGTATGTTTTCGACGTGCGAGCGCGAGAGGCCCGCCTGGTCGCATGTGATGGGCGCGTTGAACAGTCTATGGCTTCCTGAAAAAATTGCGGGAGCACGCGCAGACTTGCCCCCGCGAGCTGACGTTGCAGAATTGTATTTCATGAAGCAACAGTTCTCGGGGCGCTCGATTTTGAAGTCCTTGCGAGCTGCCGGGTTTCTTACAGATTTCGACGCGCGCGCGACGGCGCGCGCCCGTGCATTTGGTTTTATGTTTGCAAGGGGTTGTTGAACATGGATGATTTGTGATGAAGGAGCGTGCGCGCATCGTGTTCTTTGCAAGAGAGGAGTGGGGGTCGATGCCATTAGGCTGGAATGGTACGGATTCATGTTGCAAATAGCCGATGTGGCAAAATGAAATGAAACTGTGTCATCCCTTGGGCGGGCGGACAAGCCCTGGGGGGAGTGTGGAGAATCTATGTTTTGACATTCATGTACGTGGAGCAATACAAGTGGTGCAGTTCGTTTTCGCAAAAAAGTTGGCACGTTCCATGTTCTTGCAAACGTCTCACCGCCCGCCCGCAACTTGGTTCGCAAAACCCACGCGGCGGCGGTTGCGACGAGTGCTTGGTGTTGGCTGGTGCAGAGGCGCTGCCCGTTGGGCAATTCCCAGCGGGCACTTTAGTGCGAGTCGTTGACTTCGGCGGGCGTGGTATCATGGCGACGCCGGCAATGGTTGACACGATTCTGATAGTAGCGATGATGGTGGCGATGGTGGCGATAACGACGGCAAGGCCCATGGCGGCGCCGCTTTTGATCACGCCCGCCGATGACGATGTCCTCGCGTCGGCGATGAAGGTTTTTGAAGGAGGTCGACATGCGCGCGCGGCCGACGCGTGCGACTGGCCCGCGTGGTTCGATTTCACATGGATCGTGCGCCCCCCCAGCGCGCGCAAGGGCGTTCGGATGATATCGACGTAGATCGACGTGCGGCGCGACATGCCCGCTTGGCAGATTCCGGTGGAACTGTTGAACAACCAGTTGTCCCCCCAAGAGTCCGCAACACCGCGAACGCATTTTGTATGTTTTCGTTGCACTCGTTTTTGAACTCTTTGCGACACCTTCTGTTTTTGACGGACTTCTACATGCGCTCGCGACGACGCGCCCGCAAGGCCACGTCGCGACAGCGCGCGCGCGACGGCGTTTGAACGATTTTGACACGCAAAGACGACAGGCCTGTTTGGTAGCAAGTTGTTCACAGGTCTGTTATATATACGTACATGAATACAGTTCGCAAAGAACCGAGCGCATGTTTTCGGTTTGTTGTGAACATTCGTGTTGTCAAACCGTATGATTTTACATGTTTTCGGGGCGTTGGATTTGAACTCTGTGGGAAACCTAAGTAAGGTTTTGGAAACAATAAGGCATGCGTGCGCCACGACGCGCGCGTATGCATTTTTTGTTGGAACAAGGGTTATTGACAGTTTTTGGCTTTTCATCGGCGACTGTGCGCGCGGAGTATTTTCAGCAGAGGATGAGAGGGGACCGATAACGGCCTGCCTGGGATGGTACGAGTTCATATACAAGATTGGCAACGCCACATGTGCATTGCAGCGGACCGTATCCAATCGATTGCAAACTAATCGGTTGTACACCAGTCGGCCGGACGACCGGCGGCGAAGGGACGGCGACGGGGCGGCGAAGGCGACAACATACTTGCCAAACTGACGGTCAAGCTCAGGCGGCCGGCGGCGACAAGAGGACGATGGGGCGGCGACGGCGACAGCAAACCCGCCAGGCCGACGGTCTGGCCCAGACGACGGGCGGCGACCAGGCGGCGAGGGCGCGGCGACGGCGACAGCATAGCCGCCGGACCCATGGTCAGGCCCAGACGACGGGTGGCGACGAGGCGGCGACAACGCGGCGACGGCGACAACATAGTCGACAGACCGACTGTCTGGCCCAAGCGACGGGTGGCGATGAGGCGGTGACGGGGCGGCGACGTCGACAACAAAACTGTCACACCGACGGTTTGGCGTGGTTTCTTTAGACACCGAACCACTGAGTGCAAGCACTATTTGGATCTATATATATATATATATATATATATATATATATAGATATATCCACATCCATGTGTATAGGCATGCGTGTACCATGTGCATATGAATGCGAAATGATGTTGCCAGGTCGTGTGACAACTTCGGAAAACATTGGTTTATATCTGTTTGGGCACTCGTGGGGCTACAGATATCCATAACCGCTGCCTGCTGATATACTGGGGCGCCAGCTCCCAAAGTGATAGTGGTGGGCAGTGGTGAATGCCAGCTTGTGATGAAGGAGTTCCTTAGAGAGGTTTCCGCAGCCTTTGTGAATCAAGGATCGCACCAAACAGGCACAATCACCACATACGCGTACACATCTTTCCATACATACTAGCGCAGCTTCGGTTGTGAACGATGCATCGTCTCTTGGTCGCAAGCTTGGTCGGGGCCCTCGGCGTCTGTGGCTTGGTCCCTCCAGACGACCTCAGACTGTTTCAGACGTGGAGCTCTGGCCCGCCACCGCAGTCGCTATCAAGAGATGATCGACTGTCGACACAGAATCCCGAGGTGTCCAAGATGACCGCTACGACACAGTCGAGGGATTCATCGGGGAGGGAGTTCTTCACGTATGGTTCTGTGCCCATCTACGCCGCTTCACCCATGAGTGGCGCCGCCGCCGCTGGCGGAATCGTGGTGGCGCGCCCGTGGATCATCATGTTGGAAAGCGACACCTTAGAGGATGAGTCCGTGTCACTGAGCAAGGAGTTGCCGAATGGCCTCGCGACACACGCGAGCAGGGGCGAGGTGCCCATGGTGATGGGTAGCTTGGATGTCGGTAGTCTTCACTCTTTTATCAACAGACACCCAGGGCGTGTGAAGTTTATCGTAGAGGATCGGTGGCAGCAAAGGGTGGACGCGCCGGCCGCGCCGGTCATCGAAGAGGTTTCGAATTCAGAGCGGCGGACCTACCCATGGGGCATCCAGTACCTCAATGCGGACGTGGTCCGTGGGAAGGGCGCGGGAGTGAGCGTGTACGTGCTGGACACTGGCGTTCGCATCACTCACAACGAGTTCGGGGGCCGGGCCTTCGCCGGAGTGGACGTGGCCGCCTCGGGGACGTACCCAGGCACTCTCACAGTGTGCTCGCCGTCCAGCACGACGTGCGCTGCCGACCAGCATGGGCACGGCAGCCACTGCGCGGGAACAGTCGGGGCCTCGACATACGGCGTCGCGGATGGCGCTTCTATCTACGCCATGAAGGTCCTTAATGACGCAGGCTCGGGCTGGACCACATGGTCCATTCTAGCTGAGCAGTGGATTTTGTCGTCTGGGAACAGGCCAGCGGTGGTCAGCATCAGTATCCAGGCCAACTACAATGACCTCGCAGAGGAAACCTCCATTGACAACCTGGTGGCCGATGGCGTGACCGTGGTGGTGGCTGCAGGGAACGCCAACGCAGACGCGTGCACCTACAATCCAGCTTGGATTTCGTCAGCGATCACCGTAGCTGCTTTCGGTGGGACTTCAGGGAGCTCATGGGACAGGTCTTCGTACAGCAACTGGGGCTCTTGCATTGATGTTTATGCTCCGGGCACGAACGTCCTCTCGCTGGGTCCATTCAGCAACACCCAGACCTATTTCAACACGGGCACATCCATGGCCTGTCCACACGTCTCCGGGCTCGCGGCCAGGATGTACGAGGCGTATCCTACGGCGGGGTCCATGACCGCTGCGCAGAGGTGGGATCTCCTGATGGCCACGAACTGCACAGGCTGTGTCACAAATGACGCGACTCCCACACCCACTGTTAACCTGGTGGCCTTAGCCACTTCCTCTACTCCCCCGCCTACGCCATCGCCTACGCCTCTGCCCACGCCCTCTCCCACGCTCTCGCCTACGCCCTTGCCCACGCCAGTACCTACGCCCTCGCCTACGCCAATGCTCACGCCCTCGCCGACACCATGGCCCACGCCCTCGCCTACGCCCTCGCCCACGCCCTCGCCCACGCCTTCGCCTACGCCGTCGCCTACCGCCTCGCCTACACCCGCGCCTACGCCATCACCAACCCTCTCGCCTACGTCTTCGCCAACGCCCTTGCCTACGCTCTTGCCCACGCCCAACCCCACGGCGTCGCCCACTCCCTCGCCTACGACCTCGCCCACGCCAGCACCTACGCCCTCGCCTACGCCCTTGCCCACGCCCTCGCCGACACCTTCGCCCACGCCCTTGCCTACGCCCTCGCCCACGCCCTCGCCCACGCCTTCGCCTACGCCGTCGCCTACAGCCTCGCCCACGCCTTCGCCTACGCCATCACCAACTCCCTCGCCTACGTCCTCGCCGACGTCCTCGCCTACGCTATTGCCCACGCCTGACCCCACGGCGTCGCCCACTCCCTCGCCTACGACCTCGCCCACGCCGACACCTACGCCCTCGCCTACGCCCTTACCCACGACACCTTCGCCCACGCCATTGCCCACGCCTTCGCCTACGCCCGCGCCCACGCCTTCGCCAACGTCGTCGCCAACATCCTCGCCTACACCCTCGCCTACGTCCTCGCCAACGCCGGCACCTACGCCCTTGCCCACGCCCTCGCCGACACCTTCGCCCACGCCCTTGCCTACGCCCTCGCCCACGCCCTCGCCCACGCCTTTGCTTACGCCGTCGCCTACAGCCTCGCCCACGCCTTCGCCTACGCCATCACCAACTCCCTCGCCTACGTCCTCGCCGACGCCCTCGCCTACGCTTTTGCCCACGCCCTACCCCACGGCGTCGCCCACTTCCTCGCCTACGACCTCGCCTACGCCGGCACCTACGCCCTCGCCTACGCCCTTGCCCACGCCCTCGCCTACGCTTTTGCCCACGCCCTATCCCACGCCTTCGCCTACGCCGTCGCCTACGGCCTCGCCCACGCCCTCGCCTTCGCCATCACCAACTCCCTCGCCTACGTCCTCGCCAACGCTCTCGCCCACTCCCTCGCCTACGACCTCGCCCACGCCGGCACCTACGCCCTCGCCTACGCCCTTGCCCACGCCCTTGCCGACACCCTCGCCCACGCCCTTGCCCACGCCCTCGCCCACGCCCTCGCCCACACCTTCGCCAACGCCATCGCCTTCGTTATCACCTACTCCGAATCCCACGTCATATCCCACGCCCTTCCCCACGCCCTATCCTACACCTTCGCCTACTCCGTCGCCTTCGCTGGCACCTACACCCTCGCCTACGCCGTATCCCACGCCATATCCCACGCCGCATCCCACGCTTTATCCCACGCCCTATCCCACGCCCTACCCCACGCCCTCGCCTACGCTGCATCCCACGCCCTATCCCACGCCTTATCCCACGCCTTATCCCACGCCGTATCCCACGCCTTATCCCACGCCCTATCCCACGCCTTATCCCTCGCCGTATCCCACGCCCTATCCCACGCCCTATCCTACGGCCAATTCGTGCAGCAAATACTCCTCCTGCAAGCCTTGCCAATATGCGGCGGGGTGCTACTGGTGCAGGTCAAATTCGTTGTTCTCTGTGTACTCTGGACAGTGCCTTTCCACAGGGACGATCGCCACCTGCTTGTGGATGTCCCCAACTTGCCGTTGGAGGTGGTGGTACTATTTCACTTGGAGGTTCCGCCTCCGGGTCAGGAGAGGCTACTCATCGGCGTTCATCGGAGACAGCTTCGTGCGAGGAGCCTTCGAACGCTCCGGCCGCTCTCGGGTGTCTGCCCTCCCGTCCAGTGCTGTCTTGTCCGTCCAGCTCTCTATTCCAAGTCTCCGCAGGGTTGCCTCGGACGCAGATGAGATGGATGAGATTGAGGTTGAGTATTCCGTGGAAGTACCTGGCGACGATTCGGACGGTGTCGAACAGCAGCAGGTCGACTCGCTCTCCGCAGACTTGGCGCATGTCTCAGCGGAGGAGTACACGCAGGACTTCGTATCGGAGATGAGCGGTGTGGCTGGCGCGGCGGCTTTCGGTGTGGAGGCGGTGGCCAATTCTGCTACAGCCCCTACGGTGACCACGGTAACAGATCCTCCGACACCGAGTCCGACGCCGAGTCCGACTCCGAGCGCGGCTTCTGCGAAGGGAGATCCTCATTTGGTCAACGTCTATGGCCAGCGGTTCGACCTGATGCAGCCCGGTCTGCACTCACTGGTTCATATTCCGAGGCTTGCCGACGCGTTTAGCACCCTTCTGGACATTCGAGCCGACGTCCAGAGGCTTGGGGCCACCTGCGCAGACATGTACATCCAGTCCATCAACGTGACAGGTGCGTGGGCCTCTGTGCCTGAGCATCCATCCGGCATATTCTTCTCGGCTGAGAAGTCGTCACAACATCCCGGTTGGCAGAAGCTCGGCCAGGTCAAATTGAAGGTGATCCAAGGCCACACGGAGAGCGGCATCGCATATCTCAATTTCCTCATCCGCAGCCTGTCGAAGGTTGAGTATTCGATCGGTGGTCTCCTTGGAGAGGATGACCACACCGAGGCGTCCAGAGTCGACCTCAACTGCCACACAAGCGTAAACCTCTGAGGCGGGCCACTAGACGAGCGCTGCAGACTGGCGTTCCAGCCAGCCTCACCGCTTGCTGCGCAGGACTTCCATACTGTGTGCCGAAGCCCGTCTTCCCGAGCACACGAGGTCCACCCTTGACCATGACGCTTCGCGTACGTCCACCCACCAGCCCATCCAGAGTCGAACTCCAGGCGACTTCGTCAAGAACGTGGTACGAAGGGGGGGGCAGCGTTCCATCGCCGTCATTTCTTCCTTTCGAAGCTGATGGGGCTCCCGAGGGGCGCAGTGAAGGCCTTTATGTCTTGCTCTTGACTGACTGCCTCGTGACAGCGGAGAGAAGTGAGGTTGCTCAAACGTCAAATTAAACTTATTTTGTGAAGGGTCACGTAAAACATGAGTTAACGTCAATGCCATAAAACAGACGAGTTAACGATTGTTTTTCTGATAAGAGTCAGAACTACACATTAAAAGCCATCATGCGAAACAGGTTAATTTTTTTTAACATGGGATGAGATACGTGACTCACCAGGTCTTAAGGGTACGAGGCGCCCTGGCACCCGGGCGCCCAGACACCCGGACACTCGGGCAGTCGGGCCGGCCCGGGCACCCGGGCACCCGGACGTCCGGGCACCCGGGGGTACCAGACATCCGGGCACCCACGCCCGGACACCCAGCAGGCACCCAGGCCGGGCACCCGGACACCGGGGCACCCGAGCACCCAGGCGCTTGGGGATTTGCATGGCGCCCGGGCACCCGGGCACCCGGACACCCGGACGCCGGGGCACCTCAGCACCCGGACAACCAGGCCATGCACCCGCGGGCACCCGGGCACTCGGGCTCCCGGGCACCCGGACGCCTGCGCACCAGGGCACCCGGGCCCGGTAAAGTGTCAGATGCCGCCCCGTCGCTGCCCTTCGTGGCCTCGTTGCAGCCCTTCCTGGCCCCCGTCGCTGCCCTTCGTGGCCCCGTTGCAGCCCTTCGTGGCCTCCTCGCTGCCCTTCGTGGCCCCATATATGTATGCCCTTCGAGGCCCCCGCTCGTTCTCGCCCGTCGTGGCCCCATATGCATGCCCTTCGTGGTCCCGCTGTCTCCCTTCGTGGACCCGTTGCAGCCCTTCGTGGCTCCGTCGCTGCCCTCAGCGGCCCCGCCCTTGCCCTCGGCGGCCCAACATGCGTATGCCCTTCGTGGCCCCCGCTCGTCCGCGCCCGTCGTGGCCCCTTCTGCGTGCCCTTCGTGGCGCCGCTGTCGCCATCTGTGGCCCCCTCGCTGTCCTGCGTGGCCCCGCTGCTACCCTCAGTGGCCCCGTCGTTGCCTTCTGTGGCCTTGCATCATCTGCCCTTCGTGGCCCCCGCTCGTTCGCGCCCTTCGTGGCCCCTTACGCATTCCCCTCGTGGCCCCGCTGTCGCCCTTCGTCGCCCCCTTCCTGCCCTTCGTGGCTCCGCTGTCGCTGACGCTCTCGCTCTCGCTTTCGCTTGTCGTCGTTGTTGTCGTCGTCATCGTTGTCGTCGTCGTTGTCGTGGTCGGTCCCCTGTTTGTCCCTCTTGGGGTCGGGTTGCCGCCGATCAGCGCTGACGCTGGCCAGGCCGACGGTCCGCGGCCGCCCCGCCGCTTGCCGGGGCCCGTTCTGCAGGGAAGACATTAATACCGCCCTAAAGGGGTACGATCGAAGGCGAAGAGGGCGTGTGTCGAGGGTTTGGGAAATACACGCTGAATGACACTAAAGCAGATAGAAGCTAACAGTCTGAACATGATTGTTGTTGCTAACGATGATGACGTTGTCGTTGATGATGAATTTTCACTCTTTGAAAATAATTGTGTTGATTCCACACATTGGTGCACATTTTGTTTTTCAATCAAAATGGTCACCTCGGGACTCGCACATGGTTCTTGACAAGGGAAGTCTTCCTGCTCAAACTTTGTTGTTGCCCCGGGGTTACAACAACAACAACAGCTCCCGCCTGATATTTTTCACAGTGTATTCCAAAATCGCGTTCTCGCGCTGGATTTCTTTACAATTTATGCAGGGTTCGCGCTCTCGCGTGGGACTTCCTCACAATTTATTCAGACGCCGCGCCCTCGACACTAAGGAATCACGTTCACGCTTTGGCCTTTTTTCATGATGTACTTGGGAATCGCGGTATCGCCTGAGACTTCCTCGCGATTCATGCAGGACTCACGCTTCAGCAACCCCCCTGCTCGACCTGGTCGCCTGGGCCCTCCTTCCCGACCCGCCCGTTAGGGTCTGCCCGCCCGACCTGCCCGTCTGCTTCTGCATCGTATTTTCTGTTTCTAGCCCCCCCCCTCCGGCTAGAATCTCGTTTTCCATCCTTTCCCCCCTTCCATCCGTCCTGTTTTCAACTGTTTGAGGGGCTGCGCTCAATGAGCGTGGCAGGCAAGGACGATGTACCCCCAATGGGGTGCGATCGAAAACGAAGAGGGCGGGTACCGAGGGTTTGGGATATACGTGGTGAAAGGCACGCGGGCAGATAAGAGCGAACAGTCTTGGTCTTTCTTGGAGCTATTTTGGAGGCTTCTTCGAGGCTCCTTGGGCCGTCCTGGGCGGTCGGAAATCCGAACATGTGAAAACCTCAACATCTTTCAAACTCGTAAGGCAAATCAATGGTTTTGGCTTCCTCGGGATCTCCAGGAGGTCCCCTTGGAGCCCTCTCGTGCCGTCTGTTGGGCTTTCTGATTTGTTTTGAGGCTGTCTTGAGGCTCCCAAGAAGGCCTCAAGACAGATCAGCAGGCCCCCACGACTGCCCAATGTGCCTCCAAGAGGCCCTCCTCAGGGGCCCGAGGAGGCCACAGCCATTGATTTTCCATCGCTTTCTAATGGATTTTGATGTTCTGGTATACAGTCGGGGCCCTGAAGAAGGAACCCTTTTGGTTGGGAAGGGGCTCCGCGTTCCTTAAGTGTTTCACAGCTTGCCTCAGGCTTTCCTCATGTCTTCGACAGGAAATCGAAGGTTAACTTATGGAAAAAAGGGGCCTCGTTCCTTATTTAGGGTTTCTTAGGTCAACGCCCCGACTGTACTTGGGTCTCCGACCGCCCAAGACAGCCCAGGAGGCCTCTTTGGACCGTCTTGTTGCTCTTTTGGAGCGCCTCAAGGCTGTATCTGGGCCCTCTTTGGGCGCCTCCTGGGCGATCCTTCGGGTCTCCTTGGGCCCACCCGGGGACCTCTGGGGATGTCTTGGGGCTATCTCTGGGGGCCTCTTGGACGCCTCTTGGGCCGTCTTGGATGGTCGGAAGAACGAACAGGTGAGAACCTCGACATCCTTCGAACACACACAGGGGCATCCATGGTTTTGTCCCCTCTTGCTCTCCAAGAAGGTCTCTTGGATCTTTCTCGGGCCTTCTTGGGGGCCTCTGTTGGGCCGTCTTGAGGCCCCCTTGGGCTGTCTTGAGCTGTTTTGAGTCTCCCTTGAGAGGCTCTTGAGCTGTCTTGGTCCATCTTGAGCCGTTTTGCTGTCGTCTTGGCTGTCTTGGAAGCCGTCTCAGAGGCTGTCTTGGCCGTCTGGAGGCCGAACAGACCGCCAGAACGCAATTTCAGAATGGACGTTCTTTCAGGGACGAGAACGAAGGGGGGAGCCCCTCAAACTTTACAAAACCTCCCAGACAGCACAACGCATGGTGGAAATAGCGCGCGAGAGAAGTTCTGCAGAGGGCTTTAGCCCCAACAGCGGCGGCGTCCGTAGGGGGTGGTTGGCCGGGAGAGACTGGATGAAAAAGCACTAGCAAGAGAAGTTTTGTACAGGGGTTTAGCCCCAATGGGGGGGGTCCAGGGTGGGTGGACCGCGCAGATTTTTCTAACACGCCCTCTGGGGGCCACGGTGGCGGCTTTTTCGGCCCGGGACGCTCCAAGAGACCCAAGATCGGGAGCCTTGAGACGGGGGTCAATGCAAACGGGGGTCAGCCACGGCGCCGGATCCTGCAGGATCCTGCGAAGACCCCCTCTGGCTGACCCGGGTTAGGGAGCCGTTCGTGGCCGCGAGGCGGCCGCGCCTATTGGCTGACCCGGGTTTGCGAGGACCTGCGTTGCAGTTTGTTTTTCCTGCATTGCAGTTTTTGGTTTCCTGCTGACCCGGGTCTGGATTGACCCGGGTTAGAAGATCCCCGACAAGAGGCTCCGAAGATGGCTTAAGATATCTCCAAGACGGTCCACAAGAGATGTCCCAGAAGCCCCACGACGACCCAGAAGCGCTCCAGGAGGGGCGACGGTGGCCCCGAGATGGCCTCAGAAGCCTCCCAGACGCCCCCCACGAGCACCTTCAAGAGGGACTCCAGAGGCAAAAACAATCAATTTTAGGTTGGTGACGGTTTTTCTGTTCTCGCCTTGTCGGGCCAAAAGCTGCCAACGCCGCCCTTTTGCGCCTCCGAGGTCGCCCCAACACGTCCCCAGAGGCTCCCTAGAGGGCCTGAGAACATCCCAAGAGAGCTTCAAGACAGCCCACGTCAGCCCCAAGACGGGCCAAGGAGGGCCCCACAGAGGCCCAAGAGGCTCCCAGGAGAGCTTCACGGGGGCCACAGGAGGACGGTCCAAGAGGGCCCCAAGACGGCCCCGAAGACCCCCACGAGACTTTCAAGGCGCCTTCCAGTTGCCTCTCCGCTGCCCGTCGGGCTTTCGGAGGCCGCTTCGCTGCCGCGGCGGGAAGCAGCTTGGAAAGCATCGGCGTTCGAACCCTTCGAGGGGTCCAGGACGCGTGAACAGCCGTCGAGCTTCTGATTCCATGTGACATTTTTGCTCCACAGAACCGCTCTTTCCGTTCCCGTGCCTGCCCAGGCTCTAGCACGCCCTCCGTGGGCCATGTTGGCGGCTTTTCTGCCCAGGTGGTTTCAAGACTGCCCCAAAAAGACCCCAAGATGGCCGAATCTGCACCCAAGACAGCTCAAGATAGCTCCACGACGGCCCAAGACATGCCCAAGCGGCTCAAAGATGGCCCAAGAGCGCTCCACGAGGGGCGACGATGCTCTAAAAACGGCCTCATAGGCCCCCCCCGACGCCCCAAGAGGCCCCCACGAGAACCTCTAATAGGGACTCAGGAGGAACACGTTGATGATTTTCTATACGTTTTCGACGAACGCGTTTTCGGCCGAAGGCTGCCGAAGACGGTCCTGGAGGCCTCCGAGATCGCCCCGAACTGTTCCCAGCGGCTCCCAAGAGGGCGCTCAAGCGACATAAGAGCGCCCCAAGGCGGCCCAAGAGAGCACCAAAACGGCACAGGGAGGGTCCCACAGAGCCCGGCGCGGCTCCCAGCAGAGCACTAAGGGGGGCCACAGGAGGCTCCCAAGAGGGCCCCCACAAGCGCCTCACGACGGCCCAAACCCCTCAAGACGGTCCAAGAGGACCCACACGTTTCGTGGATCCGTGTGGAGCGCCACCAGAGGCTCCAATGGCGGTGCTCGCATGCGTCCGCCCCGCCCATCTCGGTACATCCTAGGGCGACGAGATCTATGCATATCCACTGCTCCTGGCCAGGCCAATCCTAGGCCCAGGAGCGGTGTATACGCCCTCCTGGCCTGGCCAGGGAGGCATATACACAGCTCCTGGGCCCAGCATGGGCCTGGCCAGGAGCAGTGGATATGTATAGATCTCGTCGCCCTACATCCCTCACACGTTCCGCGGTCCCAGAGGGAGCTTCACCGAAGGCCCCAGTGGCGGTGTTCGCATGCGTCCGCCTCACCCATCTCGGCATACCCCTCGCCTGCCGTGGCCCCGCAGGGAACATCACCGAAGACCCCAGTGGCTGCGTTCGCACGCGCTCATCGCGGCCATTTCGGTACATTCCTCACCCGTTCCGTGGCCCCATAGGGAGTTCCACCGAAGACGATACCTACAACTGCGTTGCCCACACCTGCAGATGGTTGGGTCCTTCGCCAGGGCAATTTTTGACTCGTGATCGTGGCCTCGGGAGCGCGGCTGCATGGTTTTAACTAAATGATCGTTGCCTCGCGGGGTTGGGGAGGCGGTGCATGCGGGGAGATGCGGCCCAGGGGGGTCCCTTCTTGGAGTACACGCATTCAAGCCGCAGCGTGCACACGGCACGGCGTGCACAAGGCACGGTGGCGGATTTCGAATAACTACGCTCCCCTTCCTTGCGGCAGTTCCGCGCCGTGTTGACGCGGCGGAGATTCCAGAGTGGGCGTTCAATGCCGAACCCCGCTAGTGTTAAATCGGGCATGTCCCTCTACAGAAGGAATAGTCAAAAGTTGTAAACAACTACAATGGGGACGACTTTTCTAAAATTTTTGGACTATGTTGGACACCTTCCGATTATTTTTGGACTATTTTGGAATATGTGTTGAATCTTTCTTATGTTTCTTCCAAAATCCGCCTGTAGGAGGACATGCCCGCCCTGACGCTAGTAGACTGGAGCCGGATGGCGTCGAACGATCTGCTATCGGCAGCCACGCCACGATCCACGTGCTGTCACAGAAGCCAGCGCACAGGTCATCACGATGTGAACTTGCCGCGTGACCGCACGTGCTCCGCTCGCTGGCGTGATAGCATATGCAACTCGTTTATAAGCTCGGCCTTGAGGTAGGTAGAACAAAAAAAGCTGCTTCCTCATCGTTCCCCTTCGAGACAGGACTGGAGAGGCAGAGCGTTAGCAATAGCGGCCCAGCAGGCCAGCACTGCTGGAAGTGTGGGGGATTGGCTGTCTGGGCGATGTTGCCGACAGCGGCTTCGAGAGCGCCGCAAGAGAGGCCAAGAGGTCCAGCGCTGAGCGCGGTGCAGAAAGTGCGTAGTAGGAATAGGAGCAGGATGATGATGATGATGATGATGATGATGATGATGAGGAGGAGGAGGAGGAGGAGGAGGAGGAGAAGGGGCCAGAAGAGGAGGAGGATGAGGAGAAGGAGGAGGAGGAGGAGGAGGAGGAGCAGCAGATAAAAGCAGTGCAGGAGGAGGAGGAGGAGGAGCAGCAGCAGATGGAACCAGTGCAAGAATCGGAGCACGATGACCAGATTTGGGCGAAAGGAGGCGCCCACTTGTCATAATCGCGCGCTTGTGCCGCCCAGCTCAGTGCTATCACCGTGCAAGACCTTCACGCCAAGTCCAGCTCCTCGTCTTCGACGTCCTCGAAAGCCCCAACGCGCGTCTGGATCACCGGCGGGGGCGCAAAGATGCAGAAGCGCGCCTTGCGAAGTGGGCCGGGGAGCTGCGCTTCTCCGGGGTGGCCGCGCGCAGGCGCGAAGACCGCGCGAGGTCCGTGTCAAAAGCGCATCTCTCAGGAGGGGAAAAACACACAGACACAATTAATCGTCGATTCCCCAGAAAATATGGGAAAATATGGGAAGTGGGGGCGAAGACAAAAACCCAGAAAATATAGGAAAATATGGGGGATCGTTTTATTTGTGTGTATATATTTGTGTGTCCTGGGGCCCCTTCAATCTCGGGAGAGGTCCAGGGAGCAGCGGTAATTATCGGTACCGTTGTGCTTCTCTGGGGGGTTACATGCAGCAGCGGCGCTGGCACATCCATGGCTGGAAACCGGCCGCGCAATCTGATCTAATTTAGTCAAACCAAGTCTCGCCGAATCCCAACTCATCGGGCGCGTGATGCTGGGTTTGATGGATTTGGGCAGATCCAGCCTTCCCGCTGCCCACAGCGGCCCCAGAGGCTTCCCAAGGCGCCCCAAGGCGACCCAAAAGGCCGTGAAAACGGCCCCAGTTTGCCCTCCCAGAAGCTTCGACACAGTCCGAAAGAGCCCCCAGTTTGCGCCACAGGGCCCCAACAAGGCGTTCACTGGCCTACCGGTGTTTCTAGAGTCCCAAATTGGGTTCAGCAACGCCCCAAAAGACAGCCCGAGATGGCCTCTTGGGAGGCCACGAGGCCTCCAAATCGGCCCAAGAGAGCTCTTCCCAAGTGAACCTCCAGAGGAATCTGTTGTGGATTTTCAAAATGCTTTTGCTCCCAGCCATCCTGTGGAGTTGAATCCTCGTTTTGAAAAGAGAGCCCTCACGTCTCCTCTCCTCTTCCTCCTCCTCGCCTCTCCTCTCCCCTCCCCCTCCTTCCTTCTGCTCTCCGCATCAGTCTACGATCCCGGCACACCCTTCACACGTTTCGTGGCCCCGTAGGGAGCTCCACCGAAGGCCCCAGTGCAGTTTGCATGCGTCCCGCCACCCATGTCGGCACTCCCCTCACACGTTTCGTGGCCCCGATAGCGACCTCCACCTAAGTCCCCAGGGGGGCCGTTCGCATGCGTCTCCGCCTCTCACTTCGGCACTCCTCTCACACGTTTTGTGGCCCGATAGGGAGCCCCACGTAATGCCCCAGTGGTGCCTTCGCATGCGTCCCCGCCACCCAGCAGGCTCCGTGGGGGTAGTTTCAAGGTCCCGTGGGGATTCTTTTTAAATGAAGTTTTAAGGTCCCGTGTTATTGTTTTCAAGGTCCCGTGGATGTTCTTTTAAGACAGGCTCCGTGCCCTCCGCGGAGCCATCTTGGAGCCTGTCAGGGCCGTTTTGAGCGTCTGCGGCCATCCCACAACCAATTGTGGCCCTCCTGGCCCCTCTTGGGGAAGGTCTTGGGCAGTTTTGGGTAACGTTGGAGCCAACTGGGATTCAGACGAGAGCCATGTTTCTGTGGTCTTAGACATGGGCTCGCGCAGTCATATGTCATATTCGACCTCACCCTAATATTTTGCGCTCGTGGTCTCCTCTCGTGCGAAATGAAGGCCCAGGCAGCGTTCACCTAAAGGGTTTTTCCCACCCATCGGCGAGGCTCGTCCTCCTCGTCCTCCTCCGCCTCCAACTCCCTCTTCGTCCTCGTCCGCCACCTCGTCCTCCATGTCCTCCCCCTCTCCTCCCTCCTGCAATGCCCCTTCTCTCCCTCTCCCTCCCCCCATTCTCCCGTCTCCTCTGTCTCCCCCGCCCCCCTACTGTGCCTGGCATGGCATTGCAGAGCCAGCAATTTCGGCACACGCACGCACGTGTCGTGCCCCCACATTGCGCGGCGTGCACGCGCGCGCGCATGCCGCCCCCCTGGCACACCGCTCACGCCGATCGTGTCCCCACAGGTATTTTGATTTCATACACCTCGCAGCGCGTAGTTTAAGAGGGCAGGGCCATGCCCTGCCCCATGCGCAGTTGCAAAGGGTTGGGTTTCTCCTGCCGGGCCAATGCTGCTTCCCGGAGGCCTTCCGCGGAGCCATCTTGGAGCTTGTTGGGGACGCCGTGGGGACCCCAGCCTGGCCAGCGTTGCTCCTCGGATGTCCTCCGCGGAGGCATCTTGGAGCTTGTCGGGGCCGTCTTGAGCGTTTGCGGCCATCCCCAAGTTCATTTTGGTCATCCTGGCCCCTTTTGGGGGAGGTCTTGGGCAATTTTGGGCACCGTTGGAGCCAACTGGAGATTCAGACGAAAGCCATGTTTCTGTGGTCTTAGACATTGGCTCGCGCAGTCATGCGTCATATCCAACCTCACTCCGATACTTTACGCTCGCGGTCTCCTCTCGTTCGAGATGAGGGTCCTGGGAGCTTTCACGTTAACACGCCACCTTGATAGTATTGTTGCTTGCACGATAGTAGCTGTCGCAATAAATGACGAACCGTTCGAATACTGGTACGGAAATGCATGGAACATCGGAACGGAATTGAATGATATCTTGGTGTCCATGGGCATGCCTGCGCCCAACGGGGGTAACCTTTCCAGTGAGATGTACCGCGCTTCCTCTGTGGGCGTTGGCCAGGCGGGATGCGGCAATTTATGTCTAGCGTGGACTGGCAGCGTATACACGGCCCGGTTCGCTGATATGGTAGTTTTCACAACTGAGGTCTGAGCTGAGGCAAGAGGTCGGACGTACTCATATCTGGCTCGAAGTTTTTAGGGGCGCGCCTCCTCGTCCCATCCTCGGCCGCGGATGCTCGGCGCCTTCGCTTCGCCGGGCCGTGGCCAGGGCGGATCGGCGCCGCCTGGTTGGCGAGGCCGCCGGCGTGCCCAGCCTGCCCAGCGTGCCCAGCGGTCGACGCCCGCTGCGAGCCGCGTTGCGGGGCCTGCCCGGCGTGCCCGGCTTGCCCTGGCTGTCCGGCGCTGACCTGCAGCGCCCCGCCGGAGCTGTCGTGCCCAGCGTGCCCGGCGGCGGCGTGCTCGGCGGCCGAGCCGCGGGCGTCCGCGCCCTGCCCCTCGCCTGCCTCGGCCGAGGGCTAGGGCTTCGAGGCCGGGTTCGCCCTCGGCCTGCTCGCCGGTGTGCTGCTGGCGGTGGCGGCTGCGGTGGGCTGGCTGGTGCTGCGGCGGCTCGCTTACCACGCAGTCGCGTCGTTGCGCCTGGGACGCGACCTCGAGCTTGACGAGCTCGGCGAGGAGGCCCGTGCGCAGGTAAGGGTGTTGCGACAGGTTGCCCTCGCAGTTCACTGATGGCTGCGCCAGGCTCTCCAGCACACGGCTCACTTGCGGCTGCGTGCGTGGTCGGCGTGCAGTACACTGTTGGAGGGAGGGCGCTCATCCACGAGCGCGTCGCTGTGGCCCTGAATCCTGGCACCCTTGGCACGGCGGCGATCGTCGCGGTCGACGGCGACGAGGGCGACGGGCAGCTCATCGGCAACGCGGCCGTGCTGTATACTGGGACCTGCTGCCAGGCGTGGCGCCACGCGGGGTGCGTCTTCCCGTGGGCGCCGGCGGCGCGGTACTACCACTTCCGGGCGATCACCACGGCGGCGGCGCTCACCGCTGCTGCCGGCCGCGCCTGCGTCCGCCCGCAGGGCCTCGCGGCGCCCGCCGGCCCCGTGGTGCCCAACGTCGCGGGGCGGGCCCCTGCTGCGGCAGCCCCCACACTGGCGCCTGCTGGTGCCCTCGCACCGCCTGCTGGCGGCGTGCCGGGCCCTGTGGGCGGCGGGGTTGGGGCGCTCGTGGCTGCGCTCGGAGGCCCAGCCGGCGGCGCCGCCGGAGGCGCGCTCGCCCCTGCGCCGGCTCCCGCCGTCGCCGCGGCCGCGGGTGTCCCTGCGGCCCCTGCCGTCGGAGGGGCTCTCGCGCCAGCCGCGGGGCCCTGCGTGCTGGCCCACCGTCGGCGGGGCCCGCGGTGACTGCTGCCCCTGGCATCGCGCCGCCCTCCGCGGTGCCCGCGCCCGCGGGCGTGCCGGCGGTTGGCTTTCAGACCAGCCCAGGCGGCGACGCCCGCATCTTCGCCGTCGCGAGGGATACGCGAGGAGTGAGGCGGGCCGACTTTCGCGTCATGGTTGCCCAGATGGTCGAGCCCCTTCGGCCAGACTGGCCAGCGCGTGGTCCGCGCACGCTGCTGTGGAGCTGGAGTACATGGCGCAGAGACCGGGCACACCGACGGCCCATCATCAGCGGTGGTTGGCGGAGACAGGCGTGGGCCCTGAGTCGCCAGGCGCGGGCATCCAGCAGATGGGATGTATGGTCCTGGAGGCGGAGGTGACGTATGACCAGGAGCACGCCACGAACCTGGCCCACTTGGAGCTCGTCGCGCGCTCGGTGCAGGTGCACAAGGAGCGTTACCGCCAGCTGGTCGCGTCGGCGAGGCCAGCGCGGCGGATCTTGCCGTCGTGATGGGCTTGCAGAAGCTCAACGGGTCGGCGCGCGTGCGCCCCGCCCTCCGCGACCACCTCGCCCTGGAGCTGCGGCGGGAGCTGACGGTGGCGAAGGAGAGGCGGAAGGCGCGCGAGAAGCGCGCCTTCGCCAGGGGCGTGCTTGGCCAGTCGGGGGCCCTCCCTTCCCCCCCCCAGCGTTCCCCAGAGGCACAGTGAAACCTCCACCCAGCGCCCCCTCCGCCCCGATTATTTT